TTTTTTTTTTTTTTTTTTTTTTTTTTTTTTTTTTTTTTTTTTTTTTTTTTTTTTTTTTTTTTGACAACAGAAAAGAAAATAAATCGTTATTTAAAATAATCTTTTATTCTAAAAAAAAATCTTTAAAATTTATATTAATATAACTATACAATTATAATATATTTTATTTTATTTCTTTTAAAAATGATAATATTTATTTATTTATTTATTGTCATCGTGTATTTATTTGTACTAAAATATCTATTAATTGATTAATTAATTAAATTTCTATTTTTTTTACATAGAGGTATTTTTTTTTGTTTTCGTTCATTTATCAGAAATTTAAATGAAAATGAATAAAAATATTTTTTTTTAATTTTCGAACATTAAATTTTTTTAGAAAAATAATTATATAAAAAAGAAACTATAATTCTTGTATATATATATTTTTGTTGTTGTTAGTATCGTCTATTAGATATGAAGTAGTGGTTAGTTAAATTTGTGATGGAATTAACATGAAAGCTCAGTTGTTGGAATAAGAAAACTAACACCACACCACCAAAATAGTAACGCTTAGCCTTTCAAATGACTTAGGAAGCACAGAGATATGATGGTGTACAGAGCTTCGTTAGATGTATGCATTCAGAAGCAGGGAAGAAGAAGAAGATCCAGCAGGGGCGGGCAGTACGGTATATTATTATACACACAGTTGGAAGTTATTTTAGTATTTGTACCCAGCTTCGTACAGGCTCTCCGAGGCCAACCCGTTGCCGCTCCCACCGCCGTACTTCCCCAGAGTGGCCTCCGAGTTCGCCTTGCACCTAACCAAGAACGCTTCTTGAGCTTTCCCAACGTTCTCCTTCTTCCCACTCCATATCTTCAGCGTACTTTGCTGCAGTGCTCGCCCAAATGAGAAGGAAAGGGTCCATGGCTTCAACACTTGCAATTTGTTAATGGCATTCAGGTTCAGTGTCGCTTCTTCTTCGCTTTGTCCTCCCGACAGGAACACGATCCCTGGGACGGCGGCTGGGACGGTTCGAAGAAGTGCAGCTACTGTGTATTCTGCCACTACCTCTGGAGCTACCTGTTTTTGCATAACATCATCATCTTTAATTCAAGATATAAGTGTGTTTGAATATTCAAGATGAACAAGGTAGGGAGAAGTATTATGACCTTTGGGCTAGCGGAGCCAGGGGTGACCATATTGGGCTTGAGGAGGGTCCCTTCAAGAAGCACATGGTGGTCACTCAGAGCCTTGTAAACCGCAGCCAGCACAATCTCAGTAGCAGCAGCACACTTCTTGATATCATGAGTACCATCAGTGAGGATTTCAGGCTCTACAATAGGAACCAACCCATTCTCCTGACAGATAATGGCATAACGAGCCAAGCCCTGAGCGTTCTGTTGGATAGACAACTCAGAGGGCTCAGAAGCACCAATCTTGAGAACAGCACGCCACTTGGCAAAGCGAGCGCCGGCTTTGTAGAACTGTTGGCACCGAGCTCCAAGGGAGTCGAAGCCTTGGGTTGTGGTCTCGCCGTTGGTGCCAGCCAACTCGACAGTGCCCTTGTCAACTTTGATGCCTGGAATTACATTGTTCTCTTGAAGCACTTCCACGAACGGCTTCCCATCTGATGTCTTTTGGTAAAGAGTCTCTTCGAAGAGGATTACACCTGAGAGATAAGAGAGAGCATTGGGAGAGGTAAAGAGAAGCTCACGAAGGGCTTGGCGGTTGGACTCCACGTTCTCAACGCTTATGCTTGCCAGCCGCTTTCCTATTGTGCCAGTGCTCTCATCAGCAGCTAATATGCCCTTCCCTGGTGATGCAATGTACTTGGCATTCTTAATCAGCTCCTCTGCACAAAAATAAACACGGGAACTTTTTAGAACACATCACAACACTATATACATATAGAGAGAGAGGGAGAGGGAGAGAGAGGTACCTGCATACTTTCCAACAAAGGCAGACATGGTTAAAGGTGGAGGAGGGGGGAAGGTTCTGAATCTGATAAGAAGAAGGCTTCAATCTATATAGATAAGCATTGTTCATGGAATATAGTGGCAGAATCAGAGCCCATGCAAGTACACGTGTCACAAAGTTAGCCTAAAGGGGGTTATCGAGGTTGGATAGAAGAATGAGTGATGGCTTTCCAAGACAAGTGGCAAGTGGCAAGTGGCAACTCATCCCCTCGATTATCCATCCCCCATACTAGAACAATACTAAAAAATCCTGTTGGTTTGTATCCTTTCGATGGTCCTCATCTATTTCTTCCTTCAGCCGCACTTCTAAACAAAGTTGTTTTTTGGATTTTACCTCTCTCCATACCCATACTCTTCCTTCCATCTTTTTGTCTCTGAGCGAAGAGGCCATACTGATGTACCTACTCATAACATCCAACACAAAAATATGTGTGCCCCTAATAATCATTCAAAATAATATCTAAAATTATATGTAACGGTACAAAACAATCAGCCACATCTCTCTAAAAAATGATTTCCATGGAAATGTCTATGTAGTAAACGTCTCTCTCTAGATATAGTAAATATATTGCAAGGCATGCATAACATATCAAAAGGAAACTACACAGCCAAAGAATAAGAAGAATAGTAATAGTAGTAATAATAACAATAATATAATAAGGGGCGGCGTTTGTTTCCATATATAAGGCACTTATGAGTCAAAATTTTTTCTTTCTAAACACCTCGTGAAGCGCATTCATATAATAACCACATTATTTTGAGGTAAGATCATCTCTCTCCACAATTAACGACTAGGTATGATTCGGGTGTGTTGTGGGAGTATTATTACTTGAGAGAACGATTACTGTGGAGAGGCCTCACTTCTTCATCATCGTCGGTTCCAAAATATCGATCCCCAAACTCACCCATACCAGGCACCACACGAAAATCTTCATTCAGACCAATCTCAATTTCAGAGGTCACTATCTTTATTCTTGGAAAACGTTTGCACACCACATGAACGCCTTGAGGTGCCTAGAGTGAGGAAGAAAGGGACGATTCAATAAGAAAAAAACAGAGAGAAAATATGCTCCTGTAGAAATGAACTTCACGAACACTCGTAAACTTACGGATATGAGATTGAGAAATATAATATTAGGCTCTGGAACGCCCTTGCTTATGAGCAAAGAAATAGCTTGCACCGCTGAATACCCTGAAGAAACGTCGAGACTATCAGACCTACTCACAACCAGCCAATTCATGTCACTGATCACATGAGAGTGACCAATGGCCATGACAAAGCTTAAAAATCATATATTTGACAATTTATAGAGTATGAGTTAATATCACAGAACAGCTAACCTGTGCCTAGGATGGGATCCAATAGTAATACATGTCTATTGGAGATATCAGAGGGTAGTTTTTCATAAATTAACTGCACAACGTCAAAACCTGTCAATATATGCATGCACTTGGGAACAAAACCAAAGAAGACGCGAAAACAAGAGCATACCTGTTGACCATTGTCGCCTTCCCTATGAATGAGAATCTTTCCAATTTTGATGCCTTTACAGCATGCCCGCAGAGCATTTTCCATACTCTCACCACTGAAATCAGTTTAAAGTACTCAACAATGTAACTTATAAGGATCAAGATAAAAACGCAATATCTACACAGATTAGAGACAACTCTTTGGAGTACCGAAACAAACATTTTGGTACGCAAATAATATAAGAAAAACGTCTGATATTCAAAAAGAATTGGGATTTACGTCTAACCTCCTGATGACAGATACACCACATAACCTCTTGCAGAAATCAACACCACTGTACACAGATCCTGTGTCCACACCAAAAACTTTCAAGTTTTAGCGGCAATGAACTTATTCCACAATGTATGTAAATAAAATGGATAACATCACATCTCAAAAAGAGAACAAACCCAAATGAAGACAGTTGAGTTACTATTAAGCATGCTGCATCATCATTGTGCTCAATGCATATCTTAGTGAGAAAGTTACAACATAGGAATATCTGCATGCAGATCAATCGATTATGATTTCTAGGTAAAGCAAGCAAGGATTTGGTTATTTATATGGACGGATGAGTTGTCAAATTCATTTAACAAAATATAATTCGTTGTCCCTACCCAAATACCAACGTTCATGCAGAGAAGAAAACCATGACTGTACTAAAAGTTAAGAATGAAGCTTTAGAAAGATCCCCTTTTTCATCCACAAAAAAGTCAGAAGTAACAACAGCATAGATGCCAGTAGCAAAAATGTAAATCATTCAGACTTAAAAAAATCAAAAGGCATTTAAATTTGACAGAAAAAGCATACAGTTCAAAAATATGAGCAAAAAAGGACAGCAACTAAATGCATAGATACTCATCCTTCAACTGATTGATACATGAACATTTTACACCATAAGCCATAATCATAAATACATTAGCAAAACACGTTAACTGGCTTACCAGTTGGAGTTGTCACCTGCTTCTCTGTAAATGGTAAATGTCCCAGACCATGTTCAACAACCTACATCAAGCGTCAGGAAGTCATGACAAGAAAAAAGAAAAAAACAGAAACTTCTGGGACAATTTCTATAAGAAAAGTTAAAACACTGATAGAATAAAAGTTTCTACAGGCACAAAACTTACCAAACGAATCAACCGGTCGGCATAAAACACAAAATCATGCTTTGTGGTTTTAGCATCTCGTATTAATGTATGCATTCCTCGTATCTGGAAGAAAAGAAAAAGAACCAGTAATAATCCCCAACAAAAACGCACAGTATGTTTTGCATTCTTCAGGTAAATAGCAAAACACACAGTAGGCAAGTCTATATACCTGGAAGGTAGACTGGATAACATATAAATTAGGGTATATTTTACAAAGATCATGCTGACCAAGCTTCGTGCGAATATGTTGTACAATCAAATCAATGGCAACATGATTGTCACCCCCTCTGGGAATGATGATATCAGCATACTTCTTTGTTGGAAGTATGAAGTCATCAAATGCAGGCTTTACAAATTTTGAATACTGCATCAACAAGACAGCTTAAACATTATTATTATATTAAAAAAAAAAAAAAGGAAAAAAGGGAGAAAAACATGATTGAAAAACAACTAAAGGATTTAAAAAGATTCATTTATAAAATCACGTTGTACTGAAAGTAAAATGTGCGGGAAAAATATAATTGGGATATACATAGCATAAAAAAATAAAAATGACATAGCATAATACTAAACATCAGTGAATATTTGATGGTACAAACTACTAACCTGATCGAGTACTGCAGCTATGTCTCTAGCCTTCTCCACAGTATCACGCTTAATCCTTCTCGCTAAACGAACATCAGCATCTGCACTGAAAAGTTTAAAATGTGAAGCAATTATTCAACTTAGTAGGTTAAACGTTTACCCAAATTTTGAAAGTGCCATAGAAAAATGTCTGGTTTATTAAACAAAAAAGAGGTATTGAAAATAATTGAAAGGAAGCTGAAGCATTTGAAAACCTTTTAAAATTCAGAAATATGTTCGGTAGAAAAATTCTTTAAATGCTTGAAAAATATAATGATTTTACTTGCACCCATAGTTTGAAAATTTAAGACATTTAAATGAAGAAAGTTTAATAGTTGGTTAATTTCTGTACTATCCATTTAGTTAGATCTATTTGTAAACTTCAAAATTTTAAATTATATCCACAAAGAATTTATCTATTATTCTAAGTTACTTTATTTTATCGAATTCATTTAATTAAAGAAACAGAAACAATAACTAAAAGAAAGAAAATAAAATTTGAAAACAAAGAACCTCCATTTTCTGGAATTGAATCTGAAAACTATTGTCACAATTTCCATAAACCTTTCCGATGCATATTCTTTGTAATCATTGTATTTGAAGCAGCTTAACATATTAGAAAACCCTTCTCAAACCGCGAACTAGAGTGAAGCCTTATCACCTCAATGCTAATGAGAATGGAGATATTTTTATCTCACCTACCACCTCCACTCAAACACAGACCACAAAGGATAAGAACAGTCGTAGAGAGAAGAAATTGGCTTCATTTTCAAATCGGATAGTCTCAAGAGTTCATAATTTTATAACCTAGAATAATATCAACACCATTCACAAGTAGAGACAATGACAAAGGACCTCTATGACTTTATTTTCAGATCCAAAAAGTCTCATAAGCTAATAAATTTCATTTCATGGAAAAATAGAAACAGTACATTTGAAAAGTAAGGACATAGCATAGAGACCTGTATCAACAAATATCTTCATATTCATCAGTTCTCGTACACGAGGGTCATGGAAAACGAGAATTCCTTCCAAAATGATAACATCTGCAGGGTTAACCTGCAAATGAGAATTAGACAGTTATTGTGTCTGTAGAACAAAAAATTAAAAAGGAAATAATGATGCCATGAATCTATGCTGGATTTATTTGTGAGTACCACAATAAGATATTAACTAGACAATGTAATGAAGGTGAAATAGAAAATCTTCCATGAAATCAAACACCTCCCTCCCCATCATAAATCATATACCGATGACACCTTGGCTTTCATTTTTCAATAAATTCAATAAAGCTTATATAAAAACAATCAATCTTTTAGAGGTGTAAACTATCCATTCAAGAATTCATCGATTTATAACTTTTACCCGTTAAATAGGTCTCTTTACTACAAAATTTCATGTACTTTACCTCCCAGATCAAACTCAAGTTATCAAAACCCGAACAGAGTAGAAGAGCAGAATCAAATTCATTGTACAGTCATGTCTTAGTATCCTAAAGATACATCACGGCACCTTGAGAATCTATTTGCATGAAAGTAATGTCACATCAGAATCTAGAAAGAGAATTTTCAGTATGACTAATTCCTATGCTCCACATAGAATGTAAAAAATCTAGAAGTCATACTGAAAATTCTAATTGGCATACCCTTCTTGGTGGAAAAACGTTATTTTTGTAACTCTTGAAGTCATATTTTGGAATATCTACAGGCTCCCCATGCCTCAATTTCTCCATCGAACTTAAAAGTTCCTCTGTGTCAAATGCATCTGATACAAGAAATTTTACATCAGAAAGAAGCATTCCATCTCCCACACCAACCCAGAACACAACTACAATATGTACCAAACTCATGCAGTATATATAACCTCTCCAATAGATGGTCCTTCAGACTATTATTAAGATGACATGCCTATAATTAACCATTAATAATTAGATCCTCCAATTAAGAGTACAACTTAGAAAACAATAATATTCAAGCTTTTCAAAGGGTAAAACCTATAAATATCTCTAAATATTGCATCAACTATATGATTCACAACTGTCATATTAATGCAACTAGAAAGTTCAAAATTTTTGTGAATTTGTAAATCTGTATTTTTAAGCCTGAATTGGAGCCTTTATTAGCCCAAAATGTTGACGGGAATAACCAGTTACCACAACCTAATAGATTTCATCACATGCCAAAAGGATAAAAATCCAATGTATAAGATTATTCTCTTACTCATAGAAATTGACCAGAAAACTAGCAAATCAGAAACCAAAAGAATAACATGGTAGTATAGAGAGGGCAGTCATAGGAATTGCGGAAAATAGATGACCGACAAGGAAGATGCAAAATGGTTAAACAAACATTTAATAATTTCCAATGAAGAATATGCCATCAGAGAAATATTAGTATCAAGATATATTTGGAACTATTCAATGGTGAAATACGAAAGGAATTATTCGATTATTCTAAGATATGAATTATTAACTGAAACATTAAATTAAACTTACTAGGATGGTCAAAGTTGTATTCATGGACTTGTGCAAGTTCCTCGGAAGTTAAATAATGATAGAAGGAATCCTATGAGACCAGCATATAATATCAATATCAGTGTCAGAAGCTCATCAGATTTAAATCCTCACTTGTGATTCTCTTCCATGCTCCAAAGAACCGGAGTGGCAAAAGGTGGAGGTAGATTAAGTTTTAAAATTCTATAAATAAGGCACTTATATATATAGGAGGGTCGTGAGAATTCAGATTAATTCCAAGCAGTTGATGTTCTCAAATCTCCTGTTTAGTGGCTCAGTGTTCAAGTTAAAGTTAAACATAATACTTCAAATGATTTATCACCGGTAAATGAAATTTGCTTCGGGAAAAGCTACCTGGTTTACAAGTACGACTCGCTGATCATGAAGTTGATGAATGATCATATCACAAACGGTTGTCTTTCCAGAGGTCGCACCACCCGCAACCCCTTCAAAGATAAAGAAGATATGTGAGCCATACACATAGAAGATAAAAGAGACCCATTAGTTTGAGTGTGTTCGGAAAACACAAAGTTAGGGAATACACAAAGAATGTCATAAATGATACTAATTAAATTATAATAAAATAGAAGACTGGAAATCTTCTAGAACTGACTGCCACACCCACCAACCAACAACATAAGAAAATTATAATAATAATAATAATAATAATAAAGGTGACTTGATTCGTTTGACCAGACCTTCGACCCCATTTTGAGTTGTGTCAATCAGTTAACAACGGGAAAAGGTGAAAGAAAAAAAAATGAGAATGAAGAAGAATAAAATTTGTTCACATATCATGTAATCTTAGCTATAAAGCGTGAAATGATTGAAGTCACTTCAAAAAAGGCAAAGATTAAAGTCACTTTTGTCAACTATTTTGATGCAGAATGATAACCATGCATTACAATATTACGCATCGTTACAGTTACCATCTAAAGAAATTTAGGACAAACGTCACTTTCTTCTTAAATAAACGTCAGTTTCATGCAACTTTCATCTACTCCAAGAAAATAAAATCAAGCATGTAATGCATGAAATACTTGCCTATGACGAAGGGTTGTTTTTGAAAATTTTCAGTTCCTGACATCAAGTTCTTCGTATGACCATTTTGTTGCTTCAAACTATCCATATAAAGCCCAGAAAAATGCACGCCTGATGAGGCCTCTAGTAAATCAGCAACTGAAGCAGAGCCCATGCCCAGGATCGTAACTAGCAATCAGTGTTCCTGATTTAAAGAGGAAAACCATTTAGCATATCTTCAACAGCATGAAGCCATTCATAAATCATTTCCTTTACAGCCAACAAGATAAGCACATACAGACCAAAAAAACCTCCCCTCTGCATGACATAGTCTTAAGAGCCAAAAACATAATAAAATCAATCTGAGCACAAATGGCCTCAAGAGAACTAAACACCACAACACTATATTATCCCCATTATTTCATAGATCCACACCACCTGCATTAACTGGGTATTTTCTACTCTCATCAATTTCATTGAAAACTTATGTACAATTGTTTTCCTTATACCATAAGGAAAATAAGAAGCGTTAAAAATTTATCACAGAGGCTTTTATTTAACCATTTCAGTAAATTTAGAGCCGCCTGCAACTTAGCAAACTACTTTTATTGAACACTTAACAGCCAGCATAAGCTCTGTACCATATGATATATTAACGAATTCCAACCAAGCAAAACACCATACACAAACAGCATCCGATTCACACAATTGACATAAAATCCAACCTCAATCACATTTCTCATCCGTACAGCAGCAGAATTACAGTCCTAAACAACACAGATCAACAGAACCGCAGTACAGCAATTACAACAAACACACACAGAAAGCGGATTCAGATTCTTCGACAGTGAAATCAACAGAAAGTGGAGAAATCCGCATTAACCCAACTCTATCCACCAATCCGCAAAAGAAAACGAACGAATCGAGATCATAAATAAACAAAAGACAGCCAGCAATAATAATAAAAAAAAAAAAAAGCTTCAAAGTAACGCTACATACCTGTACGATTACGCAGCAGATCCAATCGAAATCCCGCGGCGATCAGGTAACGTATGCAAATTCCTTTCTTAAAAAAGAAAAAAATATAGTATTTAATACTATAATGGATTAAAGAAACAAAAACTGAGATTCAAAGATTCAGTCAAATTAATCAGGAAAGTAAAGCAAAGAAACCAAATGCAGTTGAGTCCGAACGCACCGACGTGAAATTGCTTAGAAAGTGAGAAACAAAGGAGGAAGAAGAGGAGAGAGAGAGAGAGAGAGAGTGGAGAGAGAAAGAAAATGAAGGTTCTTGGCTCTGATACAGACGTTTGGATTGGCAGTATATATATAGTGGTGCCGGAGATAGAGGAGACGGAGACCTTGAATCCGATTCCATTTGGTGGGCCCGATATCCGGTGCTTCCCGTTTTTATTAAAAAAATTATTAATATTTTCGACAAAAATTTATAGTGACACCATATTTATTCTTAAATTATCGAGCTGTTGTAATATAGCTGTCGTTCTTGTCTAATATATATATATTTTTAAATATATTTGATATTAAAATCTTTAATAGTGTACGGGACCAATTCAAAATTTTAGGTTGATGACTCGAGCAATCTGAATAGAGTTTACAAGCTAAGTCAACTCAACTCAGCCTTCTATTTTCAAGTTAGTTGGGTTGGTGATTCGAGCAACCCTAATACAATTCACAACGCAACCCAATATAAAAATGGTTTGGTTGAATTGGGTTGTCGGATTTTTTTTTTTAATGGTTAAAAAATCATATTTCGTAATTAAAATCTTATAAAATTTAAATATCAAATATTTACAAGTCACACTATATTATTAATATTGGTTACAAGCATGATATATTCGTAATCTTTATAATTCTCTTAAAAGTATGATAGGGTGAATTGAGTTGACCTAAAAAAAATGTCAACGAGCAACTAAATCGAGAAGAATTTTATTCAAAAATTGTTCGAGTTGGGATAGTCTTCGATTATTGAGTAATATAAATATGTCTATTAACAAATTTTAAAAAATAATATAATGAAATAATGGAATCTCGTTCATTAATTAAATAAATATTTAAGAACAAAAATTACCCTTCCTACATTTAATTTATTGATTGTATGGTTTTTTAATAAAGAATTGTTTTTATATTTTTAATAATATTGTAGATCTTACATCATCCTTGAAAGCTGTTGACTCAATTAATTAAATAATAATAATTAATTAATTAATGTATAAAATTTTGAGGAAATTGTAATAATAAAGTGAACAATATAATATAAGCCAAAACAATGAATGGTAGTGCGGTCGGGCGGTAATGCTGTCGTACGGCGGTGCTGTGGAAAAACTTAGCAAAAATTACGATTCCAGCGTGGCACTGACTCGGCTGTGGGCCCACCGCTTTTTTAGGAGATTGATTGCCATTGATTTCTGTATCATAATATTCTGTAATTTCTTTATAAAAAAAAGGAAATTTTTGCTTTTCCCAATAAATGGTTGTTCAAGTTGTTTTTTTAATCTATTTTTATTTTAAATTATTTAAAAAATTAGTTATATCAATAACTAAAATTACCGATATCAAATATTTTTAATCTTCGTAATAATTATCCAAAAATGATTGTTTAAGTTTTAGGAAGGCTTTGAAGTTCTGAACGATTCTCTTACATGTCATAGATCCTATTGAAGTCTGGAAGTTGTTCACTAGGTTGGTTCCAGCACTGCAAATTCCTAGATGGTGAATTTCATCTTGGATGAACCAACTTTTCTGTTGTCATACGTTTTAGTGAGCTTGCATAGCCACAACAGTGAACATCATGTATCATGGGTTGAGTAATGTCCTCGTTATATCTCATAGGACAATATGACATTTGGTTGAACACATATGTGTAAGATTAACTAGCGACCTTTCCACATGAAAACTCATACAACCAACATCTGAGGGAGCGCCCTCGTGTGCGTGTCAGCTACTCGATCTACACATGTGGTCCCTCTCCCCTCTTAAGGCATGTTTACATTACATTGAGCTTGCTCATGGGACCTTAAACTGTTCTACAAATTGTGGCAACCATTTTGGTTCTTTATCGTAGCTTTAAAATTCTTGAACTTTACAAAAGTTTTTGACTTATGTTATCGGAAGTAAACCCAACTCATGGGACTATAGTCGCCAGTAAATAGTAAAAAAATAAATTCTCCCACCCAAAGATTTAGTTTTCATTGGTCGACATAAATCAACGTGAATCAATTCTATGACAATTTGAAACAATAAGAAAGGACTTCCTAGTTTGCTTGTAGTAAATGCATTCTTCCCCTAAACTAATTGAGTAAATTTTTGTAATCGGAAAACCATATATTTATCCCTCGATAGTTCCATATTCATATGAAGATGTCTACATCATAAATGTCATAACGTTAAGTTATCTTTTGTGCTAGCAGTAAGGAAAAAGTGTTCCATGTTAGAAACATCTTATTTGAAATCATGACAATTTGAACTTTCCAGCCTAATTTCTTATTTGTAATGATACACGTGTTGTCATCAATAAAACAGAATGTCTTTTGGTCATCAATGGTTCAACTCTCTATAAACTATACCGCACAAATCGAACATTATCCAATAGTTGTACTTTATCATGACTTTTTTCAAATTTTCTCTATGTTTTTTTCTTCAACTTGTCTGATTCTTGTATTGTCAAGTTGCACCTTAATTCATTGTCTCTCATTGAACTCATGAAATAAAGATTTCGTGTCTACATATGGCTCGAGCATCCGCTATCAACAAACCATAAATCACTTTATTTTGGGATAATTTCAATATACGCCATGTAACACCATATTGATTGGAGGAAGGAAAGAGTGCCAGCGAGGACACTGGCCCCAAAGGGGGGTGGATTGTGATGTCCCACATTGGTTGAGGAGGAGAACATACCCCCATTTATAAGGGAGTGGAAATCTTCCCTTAGCAGACGCGGTTTAAAACCTTGAAGGGAAGCTCGAAAGGAAAAGTCCAAAGAGGACAATCTGTTAGCGGTGGATCTGGATCGTTACAAATGGTATCAGAGCCAGACACCGAACGATGTGTCAGCCTTCTCTCTATGTGGATTTGGGGGTGGTAGGTTTATATGCTCATATCCTCTGCAAATGTAACATTGAATGTCATTCCTGATCTTAACTTCACTCATTCAACTGCTTTTGTCCATCCTTTCTCCCTCGATCCACAAAATCCTCCTCATTTACAACCTCGACTTGCTAAACGATCACTCTCTTTAGTTGGTGGCTATATTCTTCCCTCTAAGTGTCTTTTCTTATTTTTTTATGATCTATTGATTCTTGACTCATGAGATTGAAGTGAGCCCATTCACGTCTCATAGCTTCTGCGATCGAAGCAACGACTTCATTTGATGCTCCACTACTCATATTTCTCACTATTAAAAACTGGTATGAGCTATGAAAAAAAAAAAAAAAAAAAAAAAT